CCAACAAAAACGGGGGGCGTTTGTTTTTTTGCTCCGCACGCGGCGGGTCAACCAACAAACACGGGGCGCGTTTTCTTTTTTGCTGTGTACGCGACGGGCCGAGGATAAAAACAAACACGGGGGGTGCGTGGTTGTTTTTGGTTCGGTACGCGGCGGGCTCTAATAGATTCTCATTTGATTTTAACTAATAGGATTCTATATTGAAATGTCAGGGTTCTATACGCGGTGGGCTAAGCAATATATTAGTAAACACGGGGCATGATTTGTTTTGGCTCCGTACGCGGCAAGCCGAGCAACAAAAACAACACGGGGATTCTATTAGGGTTCCAATGATCGAAATCTGCGGATTTTGCACGGATTGCAAGGAGTCGCATGGGCTTGGCGGGTTTGGGTTTGGTTTCTACCAGGATTCTTATGGGACTTTGATGTTTCGAGTGGGATTTTGGTAGGTTTGTACGGCGCGCTTGTTTTTTTTGTTCCGTCCGCAGCAGGCCGAGCCAAAACAAAAAAACGGGCGTCTGTCGTTTTCTTTTCGGTGCGCGGCAGGCTCTAATAGGGTTGTAATAAGCGACCGCTAGCACCACTGCCGCCAACCCCCACCACGACCACCACCACCACCACCAAGGTACATAGTCTTGGAAATGGCACTTTTTACGTCTACTTCTACTTCTCTACTACGACTACGACCACGACCACGACCACGACCACTACTACTACTACTACTACTACTACTACTACTACTACTACTACTACTACTACTACTACTAGGCGACAGCGTGCTCCTGTGACCCCCCTTTCGCCTCCTTTGTCGCATGCCTCTGACTGTGACCTCTCCCCCTCGCATGCGGCAGCCGTTTGGTTTCTGCGCCACGGCAATCTGCGCCCCGGCACACTGCTTTGTTGCCCGGCTTGGGTTTTGCTCTTGGACTGGTTTGGTTCGGCTTGGTCTCGTACGGCTTGGCTTGGGTTTTACTTTTACGTAGGGTCTTAATTGTTAGATAGGGTTTTATTGTTAGATAGGGTCTTATTGTTAGATAAGGTCTTATTGTTAGATAGGGTCTTGTTGTTAGATAGGGTCTTATTGTTAGATAGGGTCTTATTGATAGATAGGGTCTTATTGTTAGATAGGGTCTTATTGTTAGATAGGGTCTTATTGTTAGATAGGGTCTTATTGTTGGATAAGGTTTTCCTCTGTCACAATCGTGAAAGGAGATCTTTTTTAAAATGGCTTGGCTTGGCTTGGCTTGGCATGTTGTTAGATAGGGCCTTATTGTTAGATAGGGTCTTGTTGTTAGATAGGGTCTTATTGTTAGATAGGGTCTTGTTGTTAGATAGGGTCTTATTGTTAGATCGGGTTTTCCTCTGTCACAATGGTGAAAGGAAATCTTTTTTAAAATGGCTTGGCTTGGCTTGGCATGTTGTTAGATAGGGTCTTATAATTAGATAGGGTTAGCTTGGCTTCTCTTGATCGGCCAGACCTCAGGTTCTGGCATGGCAAATCCCTCCGAAGATGGACACTCGAAGCTTGCTCCTTCAAAAATTAGAAATTTTAAAAAAATGTGATTTTGGGTTCCGGGTTTCGACCTAACTCCAGTGAACCCTAAGCTCTAAGCCCCTGAAACTTCACCCGCCGAGGCATACCGACTCCGACAACTTCGACACGCGGATGCTTGGTCTTCTGCTGCTTCGGTTTTGCTTCTCTTTGGGTTTAGGGTTTAGGGGGTGAGCTTTTAGTTTAAGGTTTAGGGTTTCGCGGGTTAGGTTTTAGTTTAGGGTTTAGGGGGTTAGCCTTTAGTTTAGGGTATAGGGTTTACAGGGTTAGCTTTTAGTCTTTTTAGGGTTTTAAGCGTTGACTTCCTGCTGCTCGGTTAGGGTCTTAGGCTTTCGACATTAGGTTTTGGCTGCTTAGGTTTAGTCTTAACTTTTGTCACTTATTTTGTTTCAACTTTGTTATTTGCACGTTTTTGTTTTAGCTTTTGAATTTTTGGGTTCTGGCTCTAAGATTTTCGGATTTGAACTTCAGGGTTTACGGATGAGGACGCATGCGGAAGCATGGTCACCTGCATTGAGCTTCTCCGACAGAGACTGGGCGAATCATATGCGGGAGTTGGACATCGAACACTTTCTTCTGGATCAACAACTGGAGCAGCTTGAGCAGCAGCAACAGCGCAGCAAGAAGCAGGTGGAGTGTGAGCCGCAACGTAGGAAGACTGTGGTCAAGCCTTTGAAGCCTTGCAAGTTCGGTAGATGTCCAGTACATCTCTGCCATAGACGTGTACATATTCCTAAATCAGGAGTCAGCAAGGGACGGCTCCTGGTTAGATGTGCGAAGTGGTGGAATGTAGATGCTTCGGGCAACAGAAGCTGCTGGCATGCCCAGCCGCTACCGGTTGACAAGATCGCTGAATGCTCGAAGTCCCTTTCAGAGGTTTACTACTCTTTGGAGATGAGATTGGCTAGGGGTGGCCGGTGAAGCAGTGTTGAAAAAACTGTGCCGTTCATGCCGCTTCATGTCTTGTCCCTTGATCAGACGAAACACGAACTTACAGACTCTTTGCTTGCTTGCACAACATGAACTCTCGTTGTTTGTATCTGCAGCTGCCAACTCCCACCCTCAAGCCATGCCCTTAAATCCTAAGGTTAGGAAGCGGACCAAGCGAGGTGGCAACACTTCTCGAGCGCCTGCTCCCGTTAAGCGCTCTCGTGATGTCATCAAGGCTTTAAAGAAGAGGCCTGCCGCATGCAAGAAGAAGCCTGCTGCAATCTACACGCTTGATCCGCTGCCCCTCTTGCAGCCGCCTTCTCGTCAGAGCAAGGCCAGAAGGCAATCTGCAGATGCAATCTTGCAGATGACGGGCGTAGAAGCTGCAGAGAAGATGATTGAGTTGGGTTTGATTCCTGACTTGACTGGGGCGAAGCATGAAGGATGCACTGGGTCATGGCCTGGCACGTTGAGTCCACTTAGACTGCGAACTGGTAGTAGCAACAAGGACTTTGCGCACCGACGTTGTTACTCCTGCAAAGCTTGGGTTCCAGCATTGCGAGATTGTGGTTTTGTCGACAAGTTTGCTGGGCATCATGGAAAGTCTTGTATTCCCCTTCGAAAGGTGCTGGGATTCTTTTGGCACTTCAGCCGTCATCACAGCATCGACAAAGCTGTGGATGCTTTGGGCCTCGGCGCGAACAAGAGCTTGTGGAAGCACTGGGATGCTCTGTTCAAAATAACAGCTGCGACCATGGAGACCCTTCAAGAAGCAACTGTTTTCAACAATTGCGACATTGAGATTGACGAGTTTTGCATTCGCAAGATTTGGTCTGAGGATGGGAAGCAAGTAACTTTTCTTCGACTTCTAGGAGTCGTGCAACGTGGCTCCCGACAGATCGTTTTGATGTGGCTTCCTGAGAAGCCTGTGACGCCGAATGTCAAGAATGCCAAAGCTCCGATATCACCTCCGCCGATCTCCACGGATGAGGTCGATTTGCTTCTTCCGTTCATCGGCCGCAACTGTGTTGTCTTCACCGATGGGGCCAAGAATTATGAGGACTTCTTGACACGCGAACAATGGAAGCACAAGGTTGCTGATCATCATGCGGTCAGTCACACCAAGCTCGAGTTCTGCAAGAAGGTTACAGTTCGAGGAGTTTCCAGACTTGCGGGTACTCAGCTCGCCGATGGCATCTGGAAACATGTCGAGCGAAGCATACCGAATGGTGTTCGTAGTAGTAGACGAGATCGGCTCATGGAGCATGTGCGTCTCTGGCAGTGGATGTTTCACAATGCGGGAACCGAGCCCATGCAAGCGATGGGCGTGTTGATGCAACAGTACAGGGGATCTTAGATGCTGTTGCATGCTCTTGCAAAAGGATTGTGGAGTGCCGTTTCCACCGCAGGTCTAGTAGTCGTTACCCGCCTGCTCCTCTAAAGTAGTAGTCGTTACCCGCCTGCTCCTCTAAAGTAGTATTCGTTACCAGCCTGCTCCTCTAAAGTAGTAGTAGTAGTCGCCAGCGTGCTCCTCTAAAGTAGAAGTACTTTTCCGGCTTTTGAGCTTTAGGGCCAGTTAAGGGGGTCACAAGAGCACGCTGTCGGCTACTACTACTACTACTACTACTACTCCTACTCCTATTCCTACTCCTACTCCTACTGCCACTGCAACTGCTACTGCTACTGCTGCTGCTGCTACTGCTACTGTAGCTGCTACTCCTACTGCTACTGCTACTACTACTGCTACTCCTACTGCTACTCCTACTACTCCTACTACTACTACTACTACTACTACTACTGCTACTGCTACTGCTACTGCTACTGCTACTGCTACTGCTATTGCTACTGCTACTGCTACTGCTACTGGTACTGCTACTACTACTACTACTACTACTACTACTACTACTACTACTACTACTACTACTACTACTACTACTAGGACTATGAGCCTGGAGAGCAGGATGCGTTGCACGATCCGGTTCCTGCAGTATTCAAGCTCCGAAACCAAGGAGCGGCAACAAGAGATTGTGAAGGCAGCTTGCAAAACCGAGATTACTCAGTCTCAACGCCACTGCCGAATCTTCTTTTGACGCAACCTCGCAAGATCAGTGCTTCGCTGCGGCTCAGGCGTCCTCACCTGTGTGCAGACAGCTTGGCATAGTGGAAACGGCCCATGGATTGCTCGTGCATTTGCCTAGTGACAAAGTCCGTCGTCTGTGGGCAGATGAGTATACTACATGAGAAAAGGACATCGTAACACAACCAGTTCGTCACAGCGGGCTAGTATCAAGGCCTGATGAGCGGAGAAGAACTTGATAGCAATGCTCGATGGCTGTCTCGTCGTTGTGGTGCATGCGAAGGGTGGCGTTGCTGCCGCGAACTTTCTTACCGTTGCGCACCGCGAACCAAGCCTCGGTAACACATGCAGAGACATGCTTGCGAATTCCACGGATGATATAGACGAAGAGATGCAAGGGCAATAGTGGGCCATAGGCGAAAAACAAGTCTCTGCCTGCAGCTAAGGCGCACTGTTGCCGGCGTTGTAATAGATGTTGGAATCAGCGGGCAGTCGGCGACCAGCCAGCACACGGAACACGGTCGCAAAATTCGTGCCGTGCACGGTGCGGCCTCTGCCAGGATGTGATGGTGCGGCGGCCTCTTCGGCCATGCCGCTCGGTGCGCGAGCTGCAGGAGGGCTGTCCACGGCTGCTACTGCAGTGGCCTCTGCCTCTGTTTGCCTGCACGTTTGGGCAGCGGCATCGGATAGAGCATCAGTCGCCTGGCCTGGCGATATGTTGGCCGGGGGTTGCGGGGCAAAGGCCGTGGCCTGACGCTTGGCTTCCCTTCGTTGCAGCTCGCACTCCTGCTCCCTTTCGCTGGTCCAGTGCAACGCTGCGGACGACCAGCCCCGGTTGCTGCTGACCGGCTTGGGTGGCCGGCCGCCCTTGGAGCCGACAACACGCAAGTCGATGTTGCCTGTGCCGAGCATGTAGTCACCGGCCGGAAACGGCAAAATACTTGCAGGCGCACAAGTACAAATCTTTTTGACCTGCCATCCAGTATCTGTCCGCAATGGGTCCCGTAAGCACCACGACAAAACGTTCTCTGTGCTCCAGCCACGTGGCAAAGTCTAGTGCGCCTGTCTGCCAGACCTTCGCTTTAGTCCACAGGCTTTGCAGCTTCGTACAGTCCAGCTCCACTGCCATTTGCACGATGAGTCTCGCTTTTGCCTTGCTGATCGTGATGTTTTTCTCCGGTATTTTTTCCCAGCTGCCCGCTTCATCGTCCGAAGCACTCGCGGCGTCTTTCTTGCTGTGGGCTTGTCGCCACTCCAGCAATGTTCGCGGGAGGACGAATGCAACACTGTCACCGCGAGGGACCTTGTGGATCAAATCCTTCTTGTCGTGAAGCTCTACGGCAGTGCTGCGACCGACCGAGGACAGTGAGATGGCTGAGGAAAGCTCACCACAGGGTGAGGAATCCATGCCAGACATTTCTCCCGAAAAGGATGATGAAAGTGAACTTCACGATCAAGGCATCTGGGGGAAATGCAAGACTGTTCCGGACCCTGAGTACTACCAGGCCGCGAAGGATGCAGAGGACCAGAACGAGAACGCGTTCGAGGAGATGGGCAAGGCCAAGGAGAAGATTGAGCTCAAGGACACCGAAGAGTTCAAATTTTTCCTCTCGGAGCTCACTGAGATCGAACGACAAAGCCCTATGAGGCTGCTTACCAAGCAGCTAAATGGATACGGCTATTCAGGCTTGTATCATACAGGACTGCGTGATTCTGACTACGAGCCCGTTCTCGCTTTCAAGGTGCAGCATATGAGTTGGAGGGTAAATGTTCCGCCTCACAAGGGACAGAAATACACCCTCTCCATGGGGGACCTCTTCGACCAACTCAACAAGATGTCTCCCATCTATGAGCGCCGTCCCGACAAGCAGAATGTGGTCTTTCGTTCTGGGGACGTCCGCAGCACCTTGGATGACAAGCTCATGGGTAAAGCCTCTGACATCCGAGAATCAGCTCTCGAGGTTATGGAAGCACTTCTGGATAAGCTGAAGTCCCTCGATGCAAGCGGCAATCCGGCAACTCGAGAAGAGCTTTTGAACGCTATGCTTCATTACTTCTTGAGCGTCGGAGTTGATGAAGAGGAGATCGGAGACCTCTCTCTTGAGAAGACACCGAATCCTTATATTCATCGCTTTGGTCTGGCAGAGGACTCCAAGGTTCCCATCTTTACCAGCAAGACCAAGTACGCCGCGCTCATCGTCAATCTCGGCAACATGAGCAGGGGAAGGAAGCGTTCTGCTCCTACCTCCGTTGCTGATCACATTGACTGGGACGATGCTACACCGTCTCGTGGAGCACTGATAAAATCAATTGCCCAGTCGAAGACGCATTTGTTCATGCTATGCGAAGCAGCTAAAATCGATGACTCCGAGGAGGCCTTCCTCGCGTCGCGCGGTTGGCAGTTCCTGCGCAACGAGTCAAAAGATCTGATGGTGGGAAGTCGTACCAATGGTGTTGGATCTTCGCTCACCCGCCTGGCTGGCTCCACTCTCAGTGGATTCGCACACGAGTCTCTCCCTCTGACCTACATGGTCGTCGAGATCGTGTACGGCATGACAGTTCCGACTGGCATTCAGGGCAATCGAAATGATTTTCCAGAAGAGGCACTGACTAAGGTCCTGGAGCGCGCCGGCTCCGACCGCATCAGAGTCTGTGTCTTCCATCTCCGGAACGACGTGGCGGCAGACAAGGTGGCGTTGGCTCACGAGGTGTTGGGCAATACGTTCATCGACTGCTTGCACTACCAGGTCGACCTCATTGGAGGCGACGCCAACATGGCCCTGTACCGGGCCACTGGCAGGAAGCAGGAATCGATGGACATCCGCGGCGGGATGTACCAGAGTCTCATGGACTACTTCCTGGAGGCCTGGTCAGAAAGCCCGAAAAGCCTACACCTCTGCTCGCCTCGCGCGAGGCATGTGTCAGCAAACGCCATGTGGCTTCTGAAACAGTATGAGGACACGCTGGGAATGCCATACAGAGAAGCTAAACAACCAGACTGGAATACTTTTCCTACTTTGGATCCTGTTATGGCTACAGTCATGGAATGGGGACACAGCATATCGGACGAACAGTGGGCGGAGTTTCCACCTTCGAAGACCGAGTTCGACATCCATGTCTCCGAGTGGCTGTTAAATTCCACAAGCGCCGCGTACCTTCTCAACGATCGGGACTATGACGCTCACACTCCGCTCCTCATCGAGGTTCACGCGAACCAGTACTCTCTGGAGGCAGGATGAGAGCGCTCAACCGCAATCCCGACACCATGAAGGATGCCGCGGATAGACGAAAAGAGAGACAGAAGCTGAACAAGGCGCGTGGTTCTGGTTCTACTGGTCCTGCAGCCGCACCACAGGGAGCAAGCTCTTCTCAGGAAGAGGCAGCTTCTGGTGCTAAAGCTTCTGGTTCTCAACGTCCTCCAGAACCCGCACAACCTCCTGGTGGCAAAGAAGGCGGTAAAGGAGGCAAGTCCTCCAAAGGAAAAGGCAAGGACACCGACAAGGGCAAGTCCAAAGGCAAGACCAAGGACAAGTCCAAAGGCAAAGCCAAGGGCAAAAACTGACTAGGTTCTGACGAGGGCGAGGACACAGACGTTGACGTTCCTGACGAAGACGTTGGTCCTGGCCCAGCATCCTTTGGTGGTAGACCGTGTCTTCCATTTCACTTCCAACTTCATTACTGGAGATTGGAGAGATGGTACTATCCACACTACCGGCTGCCTCATCCAGACGACAGTCCTCGGACTCGTCGCATTTACGTGCAGTACAACCAGAGGGTGATGCACCAAGGTCCGATGGAAGAAGTGGAATGAGTGTTTCACGGAATGCTTCTTTCAGAAGAAGATATCCATTTGAGCATTCGTCATTTCATAGGAAGATGCTTTTCTCATGAAGAGGTACTTCCTTAGAGACCCTCTTCAAAAGAAGATACTTATCTCAGGATGAGATACTTCTAATGCCCTTATATGTTTGCCGTGTCGCAAGATGTCATGCTGGCATCAGTAGAGCTAAGCTCTACATCTTTATGTGACAGTAAGCTTTCCACCTGGAGAGGTAACTGAATACAAGTGGGCAACTTTCAAGCAAAAGTTTTTCAGTTGAAGATCCGCTTGCGTTTTGTGCGTGTTCTGTTCTTTTCAATGAAGCTGTCTTCAGGTGAGAGAATGTATAGTTTCTCTTCAAGTCGCAGATGTAGCTCAATACTCCGCTAATTCGACCAAGAGCAATAACAGGCTAGTTGAATGCCGACTCCACGGCCATGCAGCTCTACGTGTTTTAAATTTGTGCCTGGTTGAAACACTGTTTGTTACACATCCAGGTGCCTGTCTGTTTCACGTATCACTTGCATGTATCCATGCCTGTTGCTCAAGGTTCTAGTGCAGTGGACTACAGCTGTGCGCCTGTAGTAAAAGAGACACCTGAGTGCCCGTGTTCCTGTACGCCTAGCGAGGGGATACACGTCCAGG